AGGACAGATAAAGTGCTTCTCTGGTAAGATCAAATTCAAGGAGTTCATCATCACCAAGCCCTTATTACATGAAATGTTAATGGGACTTATCTAAGAAAAAGAAGATAAAAAAGATGAACAGTGAAAGGACAGCAAACTCAGTTATTAAGAACCACACCTAAAGCAAAAGCAAACTAAGAGAACAGCTAGATTAGGAGTGGAACCATAGAAATGGAGACCACATGGAGGGTTAGCAACAGGGGAGTGGGAGGAGGAGGAGGAGGAGGGAGAAGGTACAGAGAATAAGTAGCATAGACGGTAGGTAGAAAATAGGGGGAGGGCAAAAATAGTATGGGAAATGTAGAAACTACATATGGGAATAGTATGGGAAATAAAGACCTTGTGACACATGGACATGAACTAAAGGGAGGGAATGGGGGGGAGGAGGTGTGCAGGGAAATGAAGGGGGGAAATGGGACAACTGTAATGGCAGAATCAATAAAATGTATTTTTAAAAAATAAAATAAAACAGATAATTTTAATTGCCCCCCTCCCAAAGAATCTAGCTGAGGAAGCTAGACAGAAGAGACTAGAGTATGAGGAAGAAGTTAATGAATGGATTCAGGTTTCGAATACTAAGTTCTCTTGAAGAAAGACAGGGAACCCCAGACAACTGTACAGCTTCAGGTATTTATATCATGATCCCTCTGGAAACCATTCTCTGTGAAGATGGATAAAGCATCCTGCTATTTATCTTTCTATGAACATTTGTAGTTATTACAGGATTATATAATAATTCAACTTTTTAAATGTTAAGTGAGTAAACTACCTTTTTATTTTTTTTAAAGATTTTTGTTTATTTATTTTAGAGAAGGGAAAGGAGGGAGAAAGAATAAGAGAAACATCAATGTGTGGTTGCCTCTTACCCCCCACCCCTAGCGGGGACCTGGCTAGCAACCCAGGCATGTGCCCTGACTAGAAATCGAACTGGCAACCCTTTGATTTACAGGCTGGCACTCAATCCACTGAGCCACTCCAGCTAGGGCTAAACTACCTTTTTAAATAAACAAATACAAAACTCAACTCCACATTCTAATACAAAAATTAATTTGAGATGGATCGCAGATATAAATATAAAAGTTAAAGCTATAAAGCTGCTGAAGAAAATGTTGAGAATACTTTTACAACTTCGGGGTATGAGAGATGTCTTTGAACACAGAAAGTACAAATCCTAAGAGAAAAAAAATTGACAATCGAACCTAATCAAAATGAACAACCCCTATTCATGAATGCATTTGTGGAGGACAGACAGTTCCATGACGAACCTGCAAGTTAGGTCCTGCTAGATCCCAGCCAGACAGAGACTGCTTCCTGTAAATCCCCTCAGACACTGTCTGATAGACCCCTCTCCTATCCCCCAAGCAGGCTGGTTCCTAAAATAGGCCCTTGCTCTGTCCTGGGGCAAGTATGTGTCAAATTTTCCCCTTATCTGGGGCAGATGACACCCCCATACCTCTATCCATCCTGCCCTGTTCTATATATAATTCTTTAGCAACTGCCATGTAATATGGAAAATACCCACGTTGTCTTGCTGCTGCTCAAGATGCCTGGTATGTCCCCTTAAATAAACTCTTGATATCTGGAGTTGCCAGCCTCTCTCTCTTTGGCCTCTCAGCCCCAGGAAATTTTCTGAACAATACTATAAACAAAATGAGTAAACAAACCCCACTGGGAGAAAATGTTGACAAATATATATCTAACAAAGGACTGATATCCAAAATACATAAAGAATTCTTACAAATCATTAAGTAAAAAAAAGAGAAAACCCGAGAAAAACAGGCAATAAATAGCACCTCACATAAAAAGATATGATAGGCCAATAAGCAAAGATAAACTTCCACATCATCAGTCATAAGGAAACACAAACTAAAGCCACCATGAGCTACCACTACACACCCACCCAAATGGCTAAAATTAAAAAGACTGACAACACCAAATGTTGACTAGGATGTGGAGCAAACGGAACTTCATACATTCTGAATGGAGGGTAAATGGCAGAACTGCTGTGGAAAACTGGTCAGCAGTCTTCTTATAAAGTTAAACATACATCTACCCAAGGATCAGCTCTTCCACTCCTAGATATTTACTCAAGAGAATTAAAAACATATATGTCCACAAGGAGTCTTGTACAAGAATACTGAGCAGCTTTATCCATACCCCAAACTGAAAATAATCTTAATGTCCATCAACTAGCAAATGAATAAACTGTGATATATTCATACAATAATATAATACTAAGCAATAAAAAGGAACTGCTACTATTATCACCCAACAACATAAAGGATTATACTAAAGGGAAAGAAACTAGGTACAAAAGAGTATGTAGAGTATAATTCCACTTATATGAATAAGGAAAACTCCCCTTTGGGGCGGGAATGCATGTGATGAAGATTAACTGGAAAAAGACAAAAAAGAATTTTCTGTGGTTTTGGAAATGTTCTCCGGGGATATGGGTTACATAGGTATGTATACACATTTGTCAAGTCAATGAATTGTACGCTTAATATCTGTGAATTTCACCATATATAAATTATACCTCAATAAAAAAAGAAAAAACAAAACAAAGACAAACAAAAGGGTTTCTAATATAAATATCTGAAATCAATATGCTTTGTTACTGGGCTGAAGAAAACCTTTATTATTTCAAAGCAAAAATAAAAGACACTCATGACTTTTAAATAAAAACTCAAACAGTGAAAACAGGATGGTCTAAAACATCACTCAGAACAAACCATCCATGGGACCTTATGTAAATCTCCTAAGCTCTCTTAGCCTCATTTTTTCTCACAGAATAATAAGAAACTGTATTAAAAAGATCCACTTTAACTATCTGGTAATTATTTATTAGCTTAAGGAAGAACCCTTACAGTGATTCTTATTTGAACTTCTACCCATAACCCTACCCCACTTTTCCTGAACACACTCTGCCCCTTTCTGTAACTGCTGGAATTCCGTCCAGATGGCTGGTGAGGTGAGAGGGGTGGGGGAAAGCCAGAGAGGTGCCTCCTTCTTCCGTGACCCTGCTTAAAACTAAAACTGTTCATGTAAATCAAAGTTTTGGATAACCAAATTACATTTAAAGTTATGAGGAAAAATCGCTGTTTAAAAAAAAGTCTACATTGTTTTATGAAGTGAAAAAGACTTTTAATAAAGACTGCCAATACTTAAGCCAAATTTTCTATTTATTAGTTTTACCTGAACAGGCATTCTTACATCTGCTGGAAATTTTTCTAATTATCTTTCAAAAGGCCACGTATTTCTAAACGCTAAAACATGCACCCCAATAACAACTTTAAACCAAGAGCATGCTCCAACGGCAGAAAAAGCACGCAAAGTATTCTCCTTTTATCCTGCAAATACTGTCTGGTTGGCTTTCAGCTCACAACAGGGCTCAAGCCGATTTATCTTTCCTATAGATCACGCAGTACATTTGCCTAATGCAGTGCCCTAGATTTTACAAATTACATTCATTGATGTTCTTGCACTGCAAGTCTGCAGACTTGAATGTTTGCAATACAAGTCATTTGTATAAAATAATATCATCACCAATAAAAGCAAAATATCTTGAAGTCACCTATTATCCTTTTGCTACACAGTAATTTTACATTTCTGTAAAGATTTCCTGACTTTTAGCAAAGTTAGGATTGAGCCAAGACACTGAGGTTCTATCTGCATTCACACCAAACAAGAGTCTTTCAAGACAAAAAAATTTTTTGTGTGTCCCGCGACAGGCACTGACTAAAGGAAAGTGGACACTAAAAATAGCACAGACAACACCATATGCCTGGGGGTAGGGGGAATTTTTTGCTTAAAATGTCACAACTATGCCAATTGGACATGATGTTCATATTATATCAAACAATTGAATGACTCAACAAAAAAACTCTAATAAGTTAAGAAAATTGTATTCTCACTAAAAAAGTTCTATGTGCTACTTTACTACCATTTTTAAGGTATTTCCTCCTGATGGCGATGGTAGTCACCTTAAGTGGTTCAGGTGTAACCCCTACCTACTCAACGTTGGCGCGGTCTAGGGGTGCCCACGGTCAATGTGAACAGGCGCGGGGTAGGACGCCATCAAGTTTCCTCACTGCCCTGCTAAAACTTATTGCTCCCATAAAAATAATATCTTTAAAAGTTCCAATCTTTAAAAAAAATTCACATTTGCCTGAGGTCTTCTAAGAAAAGTACAGGGATCGATCACCTGCCAATAATAATAACCACCAGGAAAGTGGGTGTAAAATGGATTCCCCGGGCTGACTGGAAAGCAGTAAACCACAAGTAAATCCCACTCCAGAAAAATGGCTTTAAAACAAGAGTGTGGGGGGAACCATTCACAGACTGTGGCAGGAACCTTCAACCTCGTCAACTCTGGGCGCGAACGCTCGCAGGAGACTGGGCAGCAAGCCCGAGGCCAGGTGCGGGCAGCGAGCGCGGGCGCGCCACCCCGACCGCAGGGTAACAAACTTGCCCGGTCACCTCTCGGCGCCGTCGGGACGCGTCCCGACACAAAGCCCACCGAGAGGTAGGAAGAAAAAGAAAGGGAAAACACGTGCTCCTCAGATAAGACCCGAGTCCTCCGGCCACCAACTGACCAACTGTACTTTCACCAGCAGCCGCGGCCGTGGGCCGCTTGGCGCCAAGGGCTTTCAGGCGCGCCCCCGCCCGCCCCGCACCCCCGACATGCCCCCAACTCCCGGCCCCGACCGGCCCCGCCGCCACAGACTGGCCGATCCGGGACGGTCGCGGACCAGCTAGCCCAGAGAATTAAGTTTCTAATAATAGAACTTTAGGCGGATTAGGGACGGAGTCGCCCAACCCCAGGCCGAGTCTGGAGCCAACTTGAGGCCCTGAAAAGCGAGGAGGAGGCGCGGGGCAGGGTCCCGGGGGCACTCCGGACGCTGGCGCCTCCACCCGGGCAGGTGCGCCCCCGGCGCGTCATCACGGACCCCCGCGCTCACCAGGTACCAGACGCCGAGCAGGATAGTACCAGTGCGGACATGGCAGCACAGGCAGCAGCTGTTGGAGTAGAACCGCGTCCAGGGCGCGACCATCTTCATCGCTCGGACCGCGGGCGCAGTGGCACGAGCCCGCACCCAACTTTTCAGGAACCTCGACCGCGTCGCTCCCAGCCGCCGCGCGGCTGCTGTTGGCTCTTTCGCCGCTTTCGCTCCCGCCTCGCTCGCCGCGGGTTCGCCTGCACGCCCTCCGGCCTTCGCTCACGCGTCCCCTTAGAAACCTCCGAGCGGCGGCTGTGGCCAGTCTGACCCTGCGCTGGGAACGCAGCGGGAGTAGGAGGAGCGGAGGGGGCGGGGCGCCCTGAGACACGTGACCCGCGCGCCCGGCCCGTGACGTCACCGAGGTCTCCAGCCTGTTGTTAGCGCAGCCAGCTCAATGTAAATAAATCGTCTTGCGCCACTGGCGGGTCCCAGAGTCAGCCCACAGTGGAGTTCTGGGCCTTCACTCTTTCGCTGGGTCAGTCGTGTAACTCTATCAGGGGGTCGAGGTTCTTGTACAGTTCAGCTGGGTGGTAGGTTTCTGCCCTTCCACACCTATCTTGAAGATAGTAAGTTGGTGCAGTGCTCTCTCTGTTGGCACCTTGCACACTAGAGGAGGGAAAACTGCAGGGTGTGATTCCGGTCAACTGCAGTACTTTGAACCTCTGTGGAAGCTGCCAGGAGCAATTTGTCTCTGCTTCCCAGCTCACTTAACTGTGGTAGTAAATCTCTTCCCAGAAATTAGGATGTGTGTCAAGGACATCCTCACTGTGCTTTGGGTAGCATTTTTAATGAGGACTGCAGCTGTAAAAAACAGTCATCAAGCCAGTTATTGCCACAAGGTTTCTGCAAGACACAACAGAAAGCTCTAAGAGATACTGAAAGATAGGACTACAATTTGAGGTGATTTCCTCCCACTGGTGTTTTGTCTGGAAGCTCACTTGTCCTAGGTTAGACTCAGGGAGAGGGAGAAGAAATAAAAATGTAGTCACTATAGTAAATCAAGTAGGTTGAGGTATGAGGATATGATTCTATTTTTGTTTTAACTATCCTAGAAATTTAAACTTTTAAACTTTCCAGTATTGCCTCAATGCCTGATATAAATAAACATCAAACTTGCAGATAACCCTCCCATTACCCACTGAAGGACTAAAAACAAGATGTTCAGGTATCCAGACCACTGATCATCTAGGGGATTACCATTTTGGACCTGTCTAGAGGCTAAGAATGCACAACTGATTCTTCTCAAGAATGTATTTTTTTCTAGGAGAACACTTATCTTTATTCTTTGCATCAGTCTTTTTTTTTAAGATTTTATTTATTTATTTAGAGGGGAAGAGAAGGAGAGAGGGAAAGAAATATCAATGTATGATTGCCTCTCGTGCATCCCCTTTTGGGAACTGGCCTGCAACCCGGGTATGTACCCTGACTAGGAAATGAACCACCATTCTTCGGTTTGCAGGCCCACGCTCAATCCACTGAGCTACACCAGCCAGGGCTGGATCACTCACTCTTGCCTAGCTGGTTTCCAGTTTGCAAACCCTAAGCCTCTTGAATAAATCTTTATCATTTTTTTTCTAGCAAAGCCTCCAGACTCTGGAGTCCATTCAATACTTTTAATCACTGGTTAAGTCAAATATCTCAGACTAGTTGCATCATTGGCATATGTCACAGTTTCATTTCAGACTCCGAGCTAGAGAAAAACTGCTTGGATTTAAATTCCTTAAGGACAGGCTATATAGTAAGGAAGAGGAATGTTTAAGTGCAGAACAGGTTAGTTTTATAAGGCTACAAAGCTGTCACATTTTTACTGTGTAGCTTAAGCCCGGATCCACAGGGACCCAAGAATCATTCTCAGAGATATCAGGTGTGGGCTCTTGATCTGAAATAATAAGCAACATTTTTGTGGGAGTTATGGAGAAAGACCAAACAAGCCCTGGCTGGTGTGGCTCAGTGGATTGAGCACGAGCCTGTGAACCAAACAACTACAGTTTGATTCCCAGTCAGGGCACATGGCCTGGGTTGCAGACCAGTTCCTGGCAGGGGATGCACGAGAGGCAACCATACACCTATATTTCTCTCCCCCTCTCCTTCCATTCTCCTCTAAAGATAAATAAATAAAATCTTTAAAAAAATAAAAAAGAAAGACCAAACAAGAAAGATTGTCTTCTCACTACAAAGTTCTGTTTTCCTGCACATTAGAGATAACTCTCTCTCTCTGGAATCTTCCATTTAATATTTAAGTATATCCATAACCACTTTTAACAGCTATAGGACAAGGATTAGTGCTCTGAGGAGGAATGGAAATTGAGAATCAGGATGGGGAGTGTTACTACTTTCCAAATTCAAACTTCCACCAAGTTCCCACTTCTCCCCACCAAAACTTCAGATTCATTTAGGCAGATGACTCATTGATTTGAGAAGTTTTATATTTCAGAGAGCTTACTATTCAAGATCCAAATTTGCAGAAAGATGTCAAATTGCTTTAGATAAGGAGACAAAGTAGAGGAATCCTGACTGAAGAAAGGAGGTAGGGAGAGAGAAACAATACATCTGGAAGTGAAGTTTATTAAATAAAAATAATGTCTGTGTCTTGGGTGTTGTGTCATTTGAAGTAAAAGAATATGGGGATTAGCCTCAAAACGAGAACAAAGGCTTTCCAAGGAAATGAGTGACAGCTGAGTCATTCATTTTCAAACAGTGCCACATGTAACAGGCATACTGATTGCAGTAGTACAGTTATTTAGACAAGTCACCTTGTTTTCATCCCTAGGAACTTCAGCTTCTGGGGCCCCACTTCCTCCTTTTCCAGAAACACTTGCTCCAGGAATCGCATAGAGTTACATGGTCCCGAGGTCAGAAAAATCTCACTTAAGCTTCCTGGGCAAGGCTCTGTCCCGGGCGAGACCTCAGACCCCTCTCAGAGGCTCTCCTAGGTAAGACAAGAGAGAACCTTAGAGGTTTCTTCGTGCATTCTCCAAATAAACCAGGGACTTGTGCATCATCCATTAATGCATTTGGTCACTGGAAATTTGTTGAGTACCTCCTTGGTGCTGAGCACGGATGCTATCTTAGAGAACATGAGGATGTCTCTATGCATAAGGAGATCACGATGTACTGAGGGAGACAGAGAAATAAACAGAAAATAACATAATTGCAAGACAAGTGCTACTGTATATTTAGCACAGGGTTCTATAATAGCCTCATATCTCAGTTTCGGGGAAATCAGGGAGAGCTTCCCAGAGGTGGCGACATCTAAGTTCAGAGCTGCAGGATAAGTTGGAGCTGGCCAAGGAGAGAAACAGAAGACCACCCCAGGCAGGATGGAGCAGGGTGTACATTTGGTGAAGTTTAGAGACGGCAAGTAGAACAATAGTTGGAAGTTAACATGTAAAGCAAAGTGGGGCAAAGTAGAGAGAGATGGGACTAAGAAAGTTTAGGGGTGTCAATGTAGGTGCAGAAGGTAACAGAAGATAAAAAGCTTTGCTTGCCATGCTGCACTGAGAAGTCTGGAATATATTTCCTGAGAAAAAATGGGAAACTTTTGAACTACTGAGGGTTTTATAAATGTTAGACTCACGTGACTCGATGATAAATTAATGTCGCAAGCTTAAGGTGTATGCAAAAGGGGTAGGTAGGACTTGCTACATTATTGGTGGAGTCTGGTACAAAATGGAAATGTGTGGCCCTCTCGTTGTGGACCTTGATAAAGAAGATGCCTACTAAGAAGTGCTCCAAGTGGTTAACTAGGCTCAAATTTAGAAAACAGAGCCTAGCAACCATTTCTCCAAAAGGCCACTCACATAAACTACAGTTCAGGGAGAAGCCTACACAGAACTACCTCCCTCTGCACTGAACTGCCTGCCTGCATTATGTTTCTGCCGTCTGAGCCAGCCTTTATGGAGGAGTTCCTGGAATCCTATTCCCACCATATTCAACCAATTGGACTGAGGCTTTCCCCATCCAATTGTAGCTGTGCAGCTATAGCCCCATCTGCTTCTTCACTGACCAATCAGAGCAGCTTCGTTCTGACTAAATGGGACTCTGACTTCTGGACCAATCAAACTTTACGAATTTGAAGTCCTCATTTGCATGAGGATGAACCAATCAGGGCCCAGGGTTGAAGACTTCTATATAAGCCACCCACCCACCCCCGACCCAGGCTATAAGCTAGAGCTGAAGCATGAAGATGTCCTACTGAAGAGGTCCTTATTAGAGCAGAGCAGAGGTGTCTAACAGCCATGCTGTTTTCACAGCCATGACACTATATCACAATTGAGCTGTTTGCACTGAATAAAATTTCCTTCTTCACCACTCTAAATTGGGGATGCCTGTTGGTGTTGAATTGACATCAATGACCTTCAGTTGACATTAAGAATATCAAGATGTCTTGTCTGAGTGAGAGACCTTGTGCTACTGCCCAGGTCATATGCCCACGAAGCTGACCCTGGAGATAGGCCCCATATCTCTCTTAGAAATTAAACACAAAACTAAACAACAGACAAACACACAAGCAAACAAGTGCAAGCTGTCTCCTGTTTTTGTCAGATAACAAAAAATGCTTCATGGAGGCTGTAATAAATGCCATTTTTATAAGAGTATGTGGAAGAGAATAAGTACTATGCCAGATGATTCATCAAAGAATCTGGACCTTGTCCCAGGCAGCGGGATCAGGACCATGAAGGTCAGAACGTGGAACTGGCTCCAGCCCTGAGTTGCAGCCAAGGTGGAAGTCAAAAATCATGATTGATACACTCTCAGAGACCCATGTAATTAATCGCAGATTTATTAAAGCACACATTGGGTTTTGGTCAGGTTCTAGACTCAGGGTTGTAAGAATGAGTGCATAAGACACAATCCCTGGCTTCCTTGCTTATTAACACCCTTCCTCTCCACACCCCACCCCACCCCCACCACACACACCCCCAGGCGGCTGCCACACATGCCTCTACTCATGCTGGTCCCTCTGACTGGAACTCTTCCCCGAGGCTGGGATTTGTCTGCCAAGGTCTCAACTCTGACGTCACCCCCCTCGGGCAAGGCTTCTCAAATTTACCCTATTTGAGTTAGTGCCTGTAAGTATTAGGATGATTTGGGGCTACTCATAACAGAAACATCACTATGGTGGCTTAAAAATTTAATTTCTCTCATGTAAAATGAACATGGAGGTAGATGGTGCAGGGCAAGTTAGCAGCTCTACAGTCATGGGGGACCCAGGCTCCTTTCTTTCTGCACCCCCATCCTAACATGGATCACTTCATGGTCCACGCTGACTGGTTCAGCCATCATGT